TATATTAGTCCAACCTCCGGTTTGGGAAGGTGGGACATACTGGCCACCGCTGGAATCCCGAGAGAACCTTCTGGAACCCGTGCAATGTCAAAGGTAGCCTTAAAGGAAAACTGCGCCCATCAGTTGGCGGTGACTGTGGGCATTTCTTTCCTCTCACCGTTTAGGAGGGTACGGAGAGAATAGTGCCCTCTGGGAGGTGTCGACTCTGGACTAGGGTCAAAAGGTCGCCCCTTCTTAACCTGTTTTCTATGGACCGAAATTTAACTTCGACCTGACCTGATTTAGCTTTACCTTACCTTGACCCGGAGGTGACCTGACGTGACCTAACTGAATTTCAAAACAGGCCCCAACAGCCCTGGTAGACATGCAGAGTTTTTCTCTTCTGCTCTCTCCTTTGTAACTTGGTAGTTCTCTCCAAGGTTAGCACCCCCATGATTTCCTTTCTGACCCCCCTTTTCATTAGCTGTATAATCTCCACATTCCAGCTGCTTCATGAGTAGCCCTTTCTTAGCAAGGCTCATAATCCCCACTAAAGTTCTCTCTATAATCTTTCATCCTGTTTCCCCTTTGAGTTCCTACATTTTAGCCCCCCTTTACTTTTTCCTCTTCTTAACCCCATATGATCTCCAGTCTCCCCCCCTCCCAAATCATCTGGCTTATTTTATTCTTAATCCTTTCTGCTTCCTATGATCTCTCCTATCCTAGCTCCCCCCTTTAACCCTTCATCTGAGCTCCACATGATCTCCATTTTTAACACCCTCAGAATCTTCCATTTCAGTCCCACCCTACCCCCAACTCCCCATTAAATCTCAACCCAGTGTCCCCGCTGTTCAGAGCAGGCAGGGCTGCGGAGGCGGTAACCAGCGGAAGCCGACGCTTGAGCAGACACGGTGCCTGGTGCCTGGCGCCCACGTCACTGTCTCCCAGGCCCATCTGTGCTAGAGGGAAGAGTGGGGGTGGGGAGGGGGTAACCTTGGGGTGAAGAGGGGGAAGGAATTCTTGGAGGGTTTGAGGACAAAGAAGGGCCAGGGCAGAAGCTCCTACCTCTCTTTCTTTGCCGTTTTTTTTCAATTTGACACGTGAGGTCATGCAAACTATATAGCTGGAAACTGAGGCCTGTAGAGCATCAGTACCTAGGCTACAGAGCAGAGCAGAGCAGGAGAGAGACCTAGGGGTCCTGAGGTCAGGTCTGGTCTGCATTGTCTCCCCTACTTGTCTTCTTTCTGGTACTCACTGTGGGGATCTCAGGTGTAAAGGGGTGTGAGGAATAAAGAAAGGAAAGAAAGTGGAGTAAGAGGATGATGGAGAGGAGGTGGGTTTGAGGGTTAAGGAGAGGAGAGAGAGAAGATGAGATAAAGGGGATGAGAAGAGGAGGAGAGGGGAGATAAGGTAGGCAGTAAGGAGGGGAGAAAATGAGAAGAAGTACAGAACAAAGAATAGAAGGGAGGGGAGATGTGGTGATCAGCTAAAGGATGGGAGAGATGGGGTGAGGAAGGATGAGGAAGGGAGGGGAGGTGGGGTGATGAGGGAATGGAATAGTATGACATGGAGATGGGCAAGGTAGGATAAGGGGGCCCAGGACTGGTGCTGTCTCCTTAGATCTGGAGGCTCTCATCCCCCTACCTCCAGACTCATAGGGGCCTGGTTTGTGGGTGGCTCTGCTTCCTCCTATTCCAGTTGTGTATTTTGCCTCCTCCAGCCTTGCCTGTGCCAACACAGAGGTAGAAAATTTAGTCATTGGCCTTAACCTGGTCCCTGTGAATGCTAAAGTGTAGGTTCAGAACTTTGAGGGTGCAGGGCTGTGCCTTCAGGTATTGGTGGTATGGATTCCGTTTTCTGCTGGGTTTGCTATTGCCGCCCGCTGTCCCATTGCCGGTGTGTCAGTTGTGTGTGTGAGGAATCACGGTGAGGCATAGAGTAGAATGCAAGCTCTGCAGGCAGACTGTCCACCATGTGAGGTTACTTTCCACATCTGTACCTCATTTCCTCCTTTGTAAAATGGGGATAGACAGCAGCAGTACTTCATAGGGTTGTTGTGAGGGTTAATTAAGGTAAAACGAAATGCATCTAGTTCTGAACTTTGCATATAATTAATGCTCACAAAGTTAACTGTTACCCTGAATATTCACAGATGTCTGGGTGTGTGAGTGTATCTGTAAATGTTTGTCTTATTGGGAGTGATTTGTACTATTATATCTGTAATGCAATTTGTGAGTAAGAGTGTATCTGTGTAATTATTTTTGTGTGGTATTGTGCCTGATTCTATGTTATTTGCTGTAGGTGTGTGATTTTGTGTTAGTGTACATGTGTGATTAAATGACCGTGTAGGCCTGTGTCTACATGACAAAATGTGGATGAAGTGTGGCTTCATGACTGTTGACACACTGACATAATGTCTGCTGGTGTATGCATGCATCTGTGATCTTCTCAGTTCCAAACACCCCACTTCCCTTCCCTTCCCATGGAGATGTCATAATCCTAGGTGCCCCTCATTTCCTCACCCTGAAGGAACTGGAACCCCAGGGGACATGGATGGGGGTGGAGGCCAGTGAGGAGGTGTTTAGATGGAGCACATGTTCCCTCCCAGACTGTGTATGGGAGGAGGAGTCTCCTATCTTGTACATATCCTTAAGGCTTCAGAGGAAGTGCTCCTCCTTCATCCCATTCTCAGGTCCCTGTCTTGTCACCATGGCAGCAGTTGCCAGGGGCTCCCTAGGTTGCTAAGATCTGGGTGTGGGAGGCTGCCAGGCACTGTTGCCAGTAGAAACAGAATCCTGGGGGGAAGGAAGACTACCCCCACAGCTGCCAGCTCTCTGCAGTGACAGGACTAGCCCTTTGACCTCTCCTGTCCCTAAATTATACTTATGATTTGTATGTGACAGTACTAGGTTTGGTGGGGGACTTTAACAGGAAGCTGTAACTAGAATACTGAGATCTACCTTCTGAGGAGAAAGGGGGTTATAGCCTGCCCATTAATATCTTTAAGTTGGGAGGCTTTTAGAAATTAGTGACTACCTCATTTTGTCCCCTATACCTTATACGTCTCCCCTGGCAATATTTCTGCTTGAGTTTTCCAGTAGTTGTTGCTTATTACCTGATGCTTCCACTTGCTATAGGAATGTTACATTAACCCCATTACTCTGGATGCAGTGTGACTTCTTGAGGTCAGACTCTAAGCATACATACTTCATGCTGACACTGGAGCCCAGACTTCAGTTCTATGCTGAGTCCCAATTTTGGCCTCAGCCTGAGACACTGACCTTAGTCTTAGTCCTGAACTAGACAGTTCCCCAAACCCAGGCGTAGGCTAAACCCTCCTCTTAGACATGGATGAGTCCTCATCTTGATCCAGATATTTGAACTAATCTAAAGATTCAGTTCTGATCTTGTACTCTGATTGAACACTAGCAATCTAACTCCCTGGTACTTGCCTGGCATCTCCCTTTATGTTCCGAACCTACACAGACCAGTAAGTATCCTAAGGGTTCAAAGGGGTTATTTCTTGCCTTGGAGTGAGAGGACAGTGCTAGGAATGACCAGCAGAGGGCGTGCAACATCAGGTCCTAGAGGCAAGCTTCCCAGAACCCTCCTAGGAAGGGGATATCAGGCGTTTTGAGATCTTCCATCTTTTCACTCAGGTCAGGACCCAGAGCTGCAGGCACAACAGTTGGTCTAGACTCCAGAAGGTTAAACTTAATAAATTAAAGTTCCTAACCCAGTGATACTGATGCTTTGGGGTCATGTGGGTTTGTACAATCATGGATCTCCCTACAGCTCAGCTGGGCTCAGGGCTGGCATTTACTGACATGGTAAGTCTGAAGAGGAGTGAATACCTGGTAAGGCATCCTCCTTCCCCAACTCAACACTTCTGTCACATGCTTATACAGCTTCACTACCTTTCCTGGTATACAGTTATCTTTGGTCCTATTGAACAGAAATCTGCCTCTACTCCACCTTTGGTCTTAGCTCTGGTCTTGAGGTCACATTGAATCTATAGGTCCCATCTTCCAGGTATCAGCCTCCGCATTCCTCAAGTATGCTCCTCTCCAGGGTGAACTTTTCCTCTTCTGGTTTGTTCCATTCCAGGCACTAAGACCATGCTCCCCTGTCTGGGTTTCAGTTCGTGATTTTGCATTTAATTTTTATTAATTTTTTTTCTTTGTTGATTTTAGAGAGAGAGGAAGGGAGAGGGAGAGAGAGATAGAAACATCAATGAGAGAGAACATCGACTGGCTGCCTCCTACATGCTCCCACTGGGGATTTTGCCCACAACCTGGGCATGTGCCCTGACCGGCAATCGAACCAGTGACCTCTTGGTGCATGGGTTGATTCTCAACCACTGAACCACACCGGCTGGGCCTGATTTTGCTTTTAGATATTTTTCTGGCATGCCTGTGCAATGTATAAATGAGCCAGCCTGCTCTCTCCTCTGACTCTGAACTTTGTTCCATGTAGCCTCCTGTTACACCAGCTTTTTGGTAGCCACCTCATCCTGTTCACCTATACCAAGTGAAAACTGCAACCTCTTTTCTCTTTGAGCTGCTAAATCACATATTGCCCATTACCTATTATGATTTTGAAAGGAGTGTTATATTTACCTTAAAAACAAAGATACTTGAGCCCTGCCCAGTTTGGCTCAGTGGTTAGAGTGTTGGCCCCCAGACCAATGGGTCACAGGTTTGGTTCTTGTCAAGGGCATGTACCTCGGTTGCAGTTTGTCCCCAGCCCTGGTTGCAGTCGAGGTCGTGCAGGAGGCAACCAATTGATGTGTCCCTCTCATGTTGATGTTTCTCTCTCTCCCTCTCTCTTCCCCTCCCTCCCACTCTATCTGAAGATAAATGGAAAAATATCCTCGGGTGAGGATTAAAAAAAAACCACAAAACAAAGATACTTGAAATAAAAAACATTTTGGCAATACCTTCTGAGTTTCAGGGCAATCCCTAGGCATGGAGACCTCTGTACTTGATGCTTACTTAAAGGTGAGACAAGGAGGGACTGAAGTGCTCACTTAAGCAGCACATATACTAAAACTGAAACAATGCAAAGAAGATTAGCATGGCCCCTGTGTAAGGATGACACACAAATTTGTAAAGTATTTGATATATTTGTTTTTTATAAATGTTAAAATGTAAGATTGTAAAGTAAATGTATATATGAATAAATCAGTATACTACAAAGAAATAAAAGAAGAGGGGCTGAAGATTTCCAGCTGGCTTGGCTGTGACTTCAGCACTGTGGACAGAGGCCATTGGCGATACCCTCAGTTATGCCTGGGTCTGTAGGCGGGTGGAAGATAATATACACATAGCATTCATATGGGGCCAGAAATCCATGCTGCTCACTCAGTGCTTTAGTGTATAAAGCTTTTTCCTGTTTTTGTAAATTTAATTTTTTTCATCACCATTTATCCCATGGCCTCTTACACCTCCACTCCCCCGTCTCCCCCCTAAAGCTCTTTCCTCTTATCAAACTAATTCTATGCTCACTCAACTATCAGCCCAAGAGGCAAACAGAAAAGGGACTATTTTCTAGATTTTTTTTTTACAGATGAGGAAACAGATTTAGCAACGTCAAACTTCAAGGAACCCTTTGGATGGGGTGGGACAGAGAACACATTACTCCATGTTTAGCAAGTTTGGCAGCTGCTGTTTCCTTTGGGGGAATGCTGTTTCCCTAGAGATAAAGAGGAGTGCACTTGAGCCAAAGCAGGACAAGGTGGGTTGAAGTCATGTAAATCGAGGCTCCAGCCAGCTCTAATGTGGCAGTTGGTGGTAGGAACAGTTCTGGGAGGTTCTAAAGTACCATTCAGGACTGCCAGACTGAGGGTGAGGAAATCTTATCATTAGGGTCCACAGATGTCCAGCTTTTATACCTCTTTTTACGTCCCAATGCTTGGCTTCACTGAGCCTAGAGAAAGGAAAAGGGACCTGTAGGATGTTACTAAGTTGTCTCCAAGTCTGATGGACCTACATAGGAAAACTCCAGTGAGGAGAGGTATGGCAGCCCTGTGAGTGAATGGAATGAATTGTGCAGGTGGTAAGAAATCCTGTGACGTGGCTACTTGTTTATGTCTATTCCCAGTAGGTGGGAAGGGGAGGTGCTAGACCACACAGCAGCTGTTTCCTTGAGGTGTACTTTAGACAGAGGCCATTGGCTGTACCCCCAGCTATGCCTGGAACTGTGGGCAGGTTAAGAACTTGGGTAATGAAGTCAGATTACATAGGTCCCCTGCTTCCTAGCTGTGTGACTATATAACCTTGAGAAACTTTCACCTTCTCTGTTCCTCACTTTTCTCATCTGTAATACAAATCATAGGTTTATTTTATTTATTTATTTATTTATTTATTTATTTATTTATTTATTTATTTTATCCTCACCCGAGGACATTTTTCCATTTTTTGTAGATAGAGTGGGAGGGAGAGAGAGGAAGGGAGAGAGAGAAACATCGACGTGAAGGGACACATCGAGTGGCTGCCACCTGCACGACCAACCAGGGCCGGGGACAAACTGCAACCGAAGTACGTGCCCTTAGCGGGAACCGAACCCAGGCCTCTCTGGACCGCAGGCCGATGCTCTAACCGCTGAGCCAAACCGGCCAGGGCTATATTTATTTATTTTTAATGACTGAATTTCTTTCTTTATTATTTACTTTTAGAGAGAGGAAGGGAGAGGGAGAGAATAGAAACATCGATGAGAGAGAACATCGACTGGCCGCCTCCTGCATGCCCCCCACTGGGGGTTTGGCCCACAACCTGGGCATGTGCCCTCACCAGGAATTGAACCAGCGACCTCTTGGTGCATAGATCGATGCTCAACCACTGAGCCACACCAGCTGGGCCATAGGGTTGTTTCAAAGATTAATTACTCAGCCAGTGTGGCTCAGCAGATTGAGTGACATCCCGTGGACTGAGAGGTCCCGGTTTGATTCCCAGTCAGGGCACATGCCCAGGTTGCAGGCTCTATCCCCGTAGGGAGTGCAAGGAGGCAGCAATTGATGTACCTCTCACACATCAATGTTTCTATTTCTTTCTCCCTTCCTCTCTAAAAAATAAACATATTTTTTAAAAAAAGGTGAATTACTTTATGCAGAGCACTTAGAACTGCCCAGTGCATACTAAGTGCTCAAAAATGTTAATAATTATTTGTATTTGGGACCCCTATGGGTTGGAGGTAGAGAATCTACCTCTGAGCCACAGACTAGGGATGCTTTCCTGTTACAGGTACTGGCTCTGTTCTTACCAGGTAAAAGGGATGAGTGGGGATTCCATAGTCCTCTGAAAGCTTCTCCAGACTGCAGTTTTCCAACCCTATCACATTAAAACAACTAGCAAAAATGGATAGGAAACTCTCAGATGAAGGAGGGCCCAGAAGACCAGGGGGAAACACAGCCAATGAGCTTCCCTACTTTGTAGTTCAGCAGGAACTGGGAAGAGAAAAGTGTCTAATACATAGATACTTTGGTGGGGAGTATGGGGCAATACATAGCAGACAGGCTTAGAGGCCTTACCTCTTTCTCAGTTTCTCCAAAAGCTCTGGCCTTGCCCTGCCCTGTTTGACTCAGCAGTTAGAGCATTGACCCGCAGACCAGAGGCCTGGATTTGGTTCGTGCTAATTAGGTTCCAAACTACCTCGGTTGCAATTTGTCCCTAGCCCCAGTTGGGGTTGTGTGGGTGGCAACCATTCAATGTGTCTCTCTCACATTGATGTTTCTCTCTTTTCCTCCCTCTCTCCCTCCTGCTCTATCTCAAGATAAATGCAAAAAATGTCCTCCGGTGAGGATAAATACACACACACACACTCACACACAAAACAAAAACTCTGGCCTCTTCAGTGTCTCCATATTCCCTCTCTGTTGGTGATAGAACCCCTGCCTCCTCCCACCCCCGTCCATCACTTGATTCTTGGGAAGGTCAGTACCAAAAGTTCTAGAGAGACATGGTGTATTGTGTTCTTGGAGGCCATTGCTGCTCCTGTCTTAGACTCAGACTCAGGAATTGGCCAATGACAGGAAATCACACAGAAACTTGCCAGATGCCCCAAACAGGAAACAGGAAGCAGAAATAGCATCACAATCTCTTTATTATGATTTCCACTGTGCCCAGCCTCTGGGAGCATCAGCTCCTTCTGGAGTGAAGGCTGAGCCATGGGAGGAGCATGCAGCTGTAATGATGGGAAGACAGGGCTTCAGGATGTTCCCCTCAGCTATCGAGTTACCTTCCTCAGAAAAGCATATAGGAAGAGCATGAGGGACCACAGGGAATTGGATCCTCCATTGTTACTTGAGTGCTCTCAGATTCCCCCTCACAAGCCTGAGTTTGGCTGAGAGAGCATAGGCCATCTCTTAAGGAGGTTAAGCTTGAAGGCCTGTGTTTCACCATAGATATGGAAAGAGGCCTTGCTACTTATACCTTGTTCATATCTGTGCACATTCTGTACACACTGTGATTGGGCTTCTTAGTCAATGGCCCAGACCAGACCTGACACCCTCTCCATGATCTAGGTCATCAGGTCATGTGGCCCAGAGGGAAGATTTTCCTTAGTGCTAGTTGGGTCCAGTGGAAATTCTGCAACCTTTTTTTTTTCCTTTCAAGGTTGCCAAAAGCAGTGGCAGCAGGAAAGCAACATCAGGGAAAGTGCCCAGTCCTACCCCTGTCCAGGGCTGTGCTGTTGGGAACAGGCATGATGTACTAACATCCTCCACTCAGGGAGATCTCTGTTGTGTAGGCTGCAGGCAGGGGTCCAGAGAAAGATCTTGGGCAAATTCAAAGTAAGTGGCAGGAGAAAGTAGCAATTTTATCCCACTATAATGGAATGGTAAAAAGGCGAGTTATAGTTACAGGTGCTGCCAGGATGTCCTGAAATTATGGCATTAAGGCTGTTCTGCCTTTTAGTGCCGAGTATACATCTCCCTTTACTCTGCTGGTTGGAAGGGGACATGCTTGCTGGGGCACTGGAGCCTGCTACCAGTGCTACCTGGAGGTTACTCTTGGCTCTGGGGTGGTCATGGCTAGCCTGGGACCCTGCCAGACAGCTTCTGCTGAGCTTCCCTCTTGGCTTTAGGGCTTCCTGGCATCATTCTTACTGAAGCTTTGAGAACTGCAATGGTTGAGGTTGTGCTTCAGGCTAAGAGGCCTAGGCACAATCCTAGGCTTACCCCCCAGTGAGGTGTCCTCTTCCTAGGCAGTTTGATTCAGTCCTTCCATATTGGTGATAGGACTGGGGGAACCCCCAGATTTGGCCACTCAAACAAGGCCTGGGTGACATCTCACAGGGAGCACCAGGGCCAGAAAGGCTAGTGGCAGCCCTGCAGCCCCTGTCATTTGGGCTGAGGGCAGGAAGAGGCAATGTGCTCATGGCTTTGGCTGTGGCTGTCCTCAAAGGAAGAAGAGCACTTGAGAGTGGGTCAGTACCCAGGAGCGAGGGAACTGCTCCATCCCTGGGATCCAAAGGGACCACTGCTCAAAAAATCAGAGCCTGCATCTGTTGGGGAAGGCTAGTCTCAGGTGAGGAAGCCACAGAGCAGACCTGGAGAGATTACACGGCCATAGCTACTGCCTCAGCTGACCCTCTGTTGCTGTAGCTTCACTGTGTCATCCAGACACCCGTTCTTAAATTTTAGCATTGGGAAGAGGACTGCTGGGTGAAAAACAGGCTTAGGGCAGATGGTCTTCAGAGGAGCATATATGTAACCCCAGTCTCTCTTGGTTTCAGGGGATGGGGTGGGGGTTGCTTGGGAAAAGGACTGATCTCAGTTTGGGGCTGCCAAGAAAAGACTGAAACATTTTCTCTACCCTTATTAAAGTCAGACACTAATTTTTGTGCTTGGCAGAATTTCAGAAAGTCACAGTGATGACAAGGTTTAAAAAGGAAAGAGAATTTCCTTTTTATAAACCTTTCCAAGGTTTATAAAAGGGCTCCACGGATTAGGACACTACAAAGGGAGATCCCAAACAGGGGGTTGGGGCTTCTGCAACTCTGAACTAGGGGAGCTATGGAGCCTCTCCTTTGGTAAAAAGTTAGATGCCTACAGAGAAGAAGCTGGTTGCTTTTTTATGCTTTTCTGCTTCCTAGGACTCTTGTGGACTGGGACTCTATCCTTTGCTGGGGGCAGTGTCCCCTTGGGCCCTCTGCAGCATGCCCCTACCAAGAACACTTGTTGTCCTGGAATAGGAGAGGTGATCTCAAATGGGCCCAAGTCTGTTGTGGAAGACCTCTGGGGCCTGCTTTGCCAGTCCCTGGAATCCAGCTAGCCTGATCTGGCCCACGATCTTTCACCACTCACCCACAGAACGCTAGAAGCTACATCTCCAGAGAGGAAGGCATCACCTTGATCTGTAAAGGTCAGGGAACAAGAAGGTAGACTTCCAGTCCCTGTGACTGATGATGAGGCAGGAAAAAAAGCTGTTCAGCATTCAAAGTCCAGAGCTTGCCTTTACTCAAAAAGCCCTGTCCGTGAGATCAAGCAGCCCAAGGCCATTGATGTAGAAAGTGATTTGCCAGGAGAATAAGCAGGAGGCCCTGCTCTTAATGTGCTTTAATCTTCTCAGGCCTGGGTGCTTCAGATGCAGTCCTTGGGCCCAAGAGTCATGTGCTTTCTCTTTCTTTTTTTTTGGCTAGACAGAATAATGACCTCTCCTACTGATTAGTCCTGAGTATGGCTAAGGAATATTTACAGAATGCTGTGGGTTTTGAAATGTTCAGGGTCATATACATGAACCCAGATTCATCTTCTGTCTGTCTCATTTTAGTCCTAAATAATCCAACCCCAGAAGCTTCTCACCCTGCTTCCAGGTCAGGCAGTTTCAGCAAGAAGAGACCATATACCACACTCCTGGTTGCAGCTCCTCCCTTTCTTCTAAGTATCTCAACACTAAGCTGTATGCTGCTTCTTCTGTAAACACTCAATTTAGTAAAAGTTACTTGAGCAATGAGGATACATTAGCTTCTTCATGATTGAGCCAGTACCTTCTCAAATAACTCTTAGTAGTCAGATCTGGCTAAATCTAAGTCATTTGGTTGGAAACAGAAACCTGAACCCAAGTACCAGGGCTGCCTCACAACATGCAATGACTTGAGAACTTAGGAAGGAAAGTTGGGGCTTGGAGGCCAGGGTTAGTGGCCTTGTGGCAGCCTCTGCTTGTCCCCAAAGTTCTCCCAATCTAGGCCCAGGCCTTGGCCTGGTGGAGAAGAACATGTAGCGAACAGTAGGGAGAAGTAGCAACTTAGGACATATCTCAGTGATGGGAAGAAGGGAAAACTACATCCTCTGTAAGGCTTTGCTGGGATTTTATCTGCTTAAGAGAGCTGAGATGCAAATCCTCTTGTTAGCTCCAGCCTCTTATCCTCATTGTCAGGGTGGTAGAAAGTTCCTACTCAGAGTTCTGTGGAGCTGCTCTTTCTTGGCCTGTTGAAGAGGCTGTCTATTCTCCACACAATGGCACACTTCTATAGGTTTTCAGTTGAGTTGAGCTGGAAGGATGGAAAAGGATGAACCTTCTCTTCTCTTCCATCCATACCTTGTCCTCACTGGAGCTCAGGCTTTAGGTCTCTGTGATAGCTGACTTGGGTGAAGCATCTAACACAGAGGACCGTGACTCCTGTCATCATACTTGTTCCATTCTGGCCCCTTGGGTTCTGGGACATGAGCTTGCATCTGAAAAACAAGGGCCAGGATGGCTCACCTTGGTTTTTGACTGTTCCTCTAAAGACTTTTGCACTTGAATGACCTGGCTGAGAGGTTCCTAGATTTCTGGGTCCCTGAGAGGGACTGCCTATCCGCTTTTCTAATTAGGACTCCACAGACTAGTTGCCTTCTGTTACCAGGAACTGGAATTTAAATAAATAATGGGTTGAAGTGCAGTGGTGGTTTTTTTAACCATTTTCCCAACCCAACACACATGAGGGACACAGCACACACCTACCAGAACAGTGGCTCAGCACAGAATGGGTTTTCATTGGGGCAAAGGGAAACTGTCAGCATCTCCAGGAAAGGATGTGAGTGTGATATGCCCCCTTATTAAGAATCACTTGGCCAGAGTCTTATCTAATGGAACTGGAACTGGCCAATTGAATGGGGTGAGTCAAGGCCCCCTCATCTATACCAGTGGCTTCACAAAGGAACTTTGGTCCTTTTTTAAACCAAAAGAACCAGGTTTCTGAAGGCATGGACAGCTAGGTGTGTGAGTGTGCAAGCATATACATGAGCAGTGGTGTGTCCGGTCTATTATGTGAAGGGAATAGGGGTGTGAGTGTCTAGAACTGGGTGCTGCCACAGATCCCAGGGTTTCTCCCTGTAGCAATGCATTTACTGCCTCTGTTGTGAGGGGAATGGCAATTTCATTGCTATAAAACTTAGTGATAAACTGAGATGCTGGCAGTGCTCCATCCTCATAAGTCTCAGTACCAGAGGTTGGTGGGGGAAAGGGAGAAAGGAAAAGGAGAGAACACCACTGTCCCAGGATTGAGCTTCTCTGTTCCATGCTATCCTGGGGGTTTCAGGTGAATGGCTGCGCTGTTTGGGCGAGCAGCCAAGATGTAGATGACATTCTCCCGCAGAAAGGTAGGCCAGTCCATAGATCTGGAGTGGAATCAAAGAACAGGTTTGTAAAGCTGGGTGCAGAGCCTAGAGGCTCATGAGACCTGATCACAGTGTCCGCGTGACTTGAGTTTGACAAAACTCAGGGAAACACTGGATTGTGCCTGACATGGTTATAGCCAGCTATGTTTCCAAGCTGGCAGACCAGCTGGCTGGCCCTATAGATCTGGGGTCAAACATGCACTCTTGGAGCCTGGTTTTTGGTGTGGGCACTTGCTGTTTTAGGGCAACAATAGGTAATGTCCTCTCTTACTTGTGTGTGTTGGGCGGTCAGAGGAGCAGACAGCCAGTTGAGGAGATCCCACTCACCTGGATTCATGCTCTGTGGGCAGCAGGGCCTTGTCCTGAATCTTGCTGTTGCTGCTGGCTGGGCTGCTTTCTGCTATGGGACCCACATGGCTGATGCTGTTGGGCACAAGAACAAGTAGTTAGAAGCAGGACAGTGAAAGTCCTGGTCCCTCCCATGAGTCAGCCCATGGCTCCAGATGTGCATGTCTAGGCTTTCTGACATGGGGCAAAAGTTTGGAGTAGAGACTCCCCTATGCCATGGCCAATAGGAATCACTGTCCTCTGTCTAACGCACATGAGGATCCTCTCTTGGCTGCTGGCAGGAGAAACAGGGAGGTACCTTTCATATTTAGGGCCATTTGGCATGGAAAAAGGAGGAGGGTATGTGAGTGGGGGCAGGGATTGGTAGGTAGCAGACCTGACACTGGAGGAAGGAGCCTCTGGGAGACGTTTGCAGAACCAAGAGTGCTGTGCACGGAGGCACTCTGCCTCACTGATGGTGCTCCCGTTGCCCCATGCCAGGAAGGTGGCTCGGGCTCGCTCCCGCTCCTTGACTGTCAGAAGCCTTAACAAAGAGTTCTGGGGAAGAAGAGACAAGTTAAGGTCTTAGAGGTGAAAATATTTTATAAACTGTCAAGCCACAGAGAATTCTACCTCCATTTCCACCTCTGCAACCTCCCTTTGAAGCTGCCCAGAGCCTTTCTGGTAGCACCAACATTTCCAGTGGGGTCTAGTGCAGATCAGTCTTCCTTGAGCAGTTTCCTCAGCACCTGTCACTGGATGGGACTTGAGCCCTTTTCTGGCACTGGTCCCTGCTCAGAGAGTATCCAGGGCTCCCCCAACCTGCCCAGCATGCTTCCCAGGTGTCTGTCACTCAGTATCCCATAGACATTCACCCCAGCTGGCCCTTACCTGGGGACGCAACTGCTGCAGAAGTAGGAGGGACTCATGGGACAAGAAATCAGGCCACTCTATGTGTCCTTGATGATCAGGGTCCAGGGCTGCAAACTGGCGGGCTGCCTGCTCCTCTTGTTTCTCGGTTAAAGCCCTGTCACTGTCCCCCCGCTTTGCTGCTTGGTGGCGGTAGCGCAGGAAGTCCTCCCGCGTCAGGGAGCAATCTGTTGGGAGGCACCACATGCTAGCTATGCCCACTCCTTCCTCATCCTATGAGTCACCTCCATTCACTTCTAGGGTACCCTCTAGAGCCCCTACATCCACAGCTCTTGCAGAGTCATTGTCTCCCAGGCGTGGGTGCCCCTGCTGGCCAACAGCTTGGGAGCAGGGACCTATTTCCCCTTAACCCCCAAATTCCAAGATACTCCTTTCATCCTGGAAAGTATGATGGAGAAATCTGCCTGGCCGCTCTCCATCCAGCAGCATTGTCCAGCCTTACCAGGGATGACTTTACACTGCTGAAAGGTCTCTGTGAGGCTATACATTTCCTCCTCAGTTAGCAGCAAGTTGAGGTTGTCCTGGAAGGAAAAAAAAAGAAAGAAAGAAAGAAGAAGAGTTGAGTTAGTGGCCACATAACACATAGGCCAGTAAGAAAGAAAGGCCAAAGATAAAGAGAAATGGAAATAGTATTTCAACTGAAAGGCAATTCTGAGATCTAATCCTAGTCTCTCATTCACAATCAAGGAGACTGAGGCCCCAGGAAGGGGAAGGGACTTGCTTAGGGATGCTCAAATGTGGGGCAGAATATCCCTCAGAAACCAGGTATCCTGACTCCACCCTGAGTCTCTTTTATTAAAATAGTAATTTTAAAATTATTTTCTGAGATAACCTAGGGCTTCCTTGGAAGTGCATTAGGAAGCTGTTGCAAGGGAGAAAGTGGGCTAGTAAGTGGGTAGAGTTGTGAATCTTTGGCCCCATCAACCAGAGCAGCTCCATCTTTATCCATTTTATGGATTTGGCTTCTGTGTTAGACTGTGCTCAAAGAATATTTTAGTTTTAAATAATTTTAATTGTAACTCTACTCCTAATGGGTTGTATCACTTTAAATTATTCCAAAGTGGTTTTGAAAGAGATGCCATCATGACAAAGTTCCTAAAATCAAATGAGTTTTTTCGTGGTGCCGTAGAAGTTTTAATTCCTGAAAGAGCACTGATATGTTTTGTTAACATTAATTTATAGTCTTACAGTCTTTAAAATATCAACGATTCTTTCTAGTAGGTTATTTTCCCCCCTAAAATACTAGCAAAGAATAGGAGCAGACATTTCATGAATATTCATTTGTGGATTTCATAAAGAACTCATACCATTCTTTTAATAAACACATACTGAGCACTTAGTATATTCTGGTCACAATGGTGTGTAACACTGTGAGATGTTCACTGTGGCTGCAGTGTATATAGTATATGTGTGTGGGTAGAGCAAGAAGGAATGATAAAAGGGAAGGGAGGTAGGCAGAAGCCTGACTATGAAGTGCCTCATATGCCCTTTATTGAGCCCCTCGAATTGGGCCTTTATTCTGAGAGCAAAGAGGAGTCACTAAAGGGTTTTTAAGTGTGGAGTGCCATGGTGAGATCTTTGACTGCTGTGTGGAAAATGGATTAGAGGGGCAAAGTCTGGAGGCATGGAGAGCAGTTAGGTGGCTGTTGCAATAGTATAGATAAGAAAAGATGAGTGACTAAACTAAGACATGAGAATGAAGAAAGTTGAGAGCTATTAGGAGGTAGAATCAATAGGACCTGTTGACTTACTAAATGTGAGGGATGAAGGAGAGAAAAAAGTTGGGATTGGTAATGGTGGGTGGGATGAGGTGGTATTCACAGAGATAAGGAATGGAGGGAGAACATGTTTTTGGAGAAAGATAAGTTCATTTGGGACATGTTGACTACGAAGCACATGTAAAGCACAGAGATGAAGATAAATCTAAGAGACAGAGAAAATTTAAGTCTGCACACAGATTTGAGAACCATTAGTGTTTAGAGGCCAGGGATGTTGCTAAAAATCCTACAATGCACACAGCCCCCACAACAAAGAATTATTGTGCCCAAAATGTCAATAGTATTGAGGTAGAGAACCCCTGTCTCGGACCCTTATATCTATTATTAGAAAACTCTGTAGCTCATTGCCTAGAAACCAGTTGTAAGACTGGGCCTCCAGAAAAAGAGCCATATCCTCCATGGTTCAGCAGCCCACTGTCCCTGCAGTCCAGGCTCACACAGTAGTGGCAGCTCCAGCCTGTTTCCGTGTGTGCCATCTCGGTCACCTCTGCTGCACTGCCTTCTTGGATGTAGCCCATGCGATGCAGGCAGCCATCATGAAAAACCCTGGTGCAGACCCTGCATGGGAAGAGGCTCTCAGCCGTCCAGACCTCACAGACATCGCACATCTCATCGTTGACAACCTGGGGAAAGATGGCAGGAATGAAAAGGGATGTGTGAATACAGGCAGCAAGATCCTACAGCCACCAAGCACACTGTGGAATAGCCTAGGGGAGCAACTCCAACTGAAGCCAGTGTTAAGGTGGTATTTCCCGTCTTGTCTCTCTGGAAGACAAGAACCAGCAGGCTCTTCTAGCTGCTCAGGCCTGTGTGACCATGGTTCTGATCAGGAATGCTACTACCATTTTTGGAAAGAATAATTTGTTGTGAGAAATTGTCCCAGGCATTGCAGGACACTTAGCATCCTGGTTTTCTTGGCACCAAATACCAGTAGCAACTCCCAGTTATGGTGACTTCCGTACATACCCCACGCCAATTTTCAAATAATCCCTACAGGGGGTAGTACTATCCCTTAGATGGGAAGGCTGGTAGAAGACCTGCTATGGTATCATTCTTTGTCACCTACTGCCTCAAGTCTTTCACTAAGACTAATCCAGAATGTAACTAACGTTTTTATTCTTGTGGCAGAAACTCAAAAATCATTCTGGAGTCAACTCCATCTTTCTAGTTTTGAGTCTCACTTTAACTGTACCCCGGCATCCCAGTTATGCTCCCTGATCCTCAGAAGGTCTAAAACTTGAGGAATCTGCACTAACTGGACACTCACAGTCTCTCTGGGCTCCAAGCAGATATCTGGAGGTTTGTCATCATCCAGCTTCCGGGTGGGGCGGATGAAGGCAGGAGGCGTAAAACGATTGTTCCTATCAAACTCTTCAGGTTCCACTCCACGCCCATCTCGGAGCCTCTCCCAGGCTGCACGGTTGATGTTGCTCTCTTCTTGGAGCACTGGGGTGCTTGCCTCTGCTTCTTTCTCCTCCTGAACCTCCTGGACAGAGCCCTCTACAGTGCCATGGTGGGACCCTGGAAGCTCACCTGTGCGTTGAGTGGAAGGCCTGTCCCGCAGCCCATCCTTGAAGGCAGACACAGCCAGGCTCACCTTCTGCACCTGCTCCACTGTCTGCCGCTTGGACATCAACACCCCCATGGCTCTATAAACGAAAAAAAGAGGGGCCCAGACTTAGCCAATGGCTGACCATGTTGAGCCAATCTGTTTCAAGCATTTACCTAAGTGGCAAATGCGACTGAATAGTTTCTCTTGTTCTAAAACTCAGTAGTGGTAGGGAGGAGAGAGCAATTGTTAAGGAGTCAGAAGACCTTGGTTCTACTGTTGATTGAGTGCCTCGTGACTTGGTTTTCCCATCTGAAATGAGAGCTATCTGTTCTCTGCAATTCATAAGGCTGTCATGAAGATAACCTTAGTTCACGGGCTTAACAGTGCTTAGTAGACTGGAAAGCACACTACAAATGTAAAATGGTATTTCTATCTTCCTTCCTGTCCCAAAGCCAGTTAGGTCTAGGGTTCCCAGGCCTTTGCTACTTTGAGACAGTTGGAGACTTCAGAGCCCAGTCTCTCTTCTTCCCCACAAGATGACCAAGGCTTAAAGCAAGACTACAGCAACATATTTCAGACTTCTGATTTAAGGGAAGGTCCTCCAATAAGTGTTGTGCACAATCTGTCCAGGGATAATCCACATCAAATGCCTACTTTTTGAGTCAGAGTGATTGAACTATTTCTAGAGGACTCTTAAATAGGCAGTCAGGGAACTCTACCACCCTATTCTGTGGTGAAGGTCACAAACACTTCTTTGCCCCTCTAATCAGTAGCTATGCCTCTTTATGGGTCTGTGTACCTATCAACAGACCCAACAACAGACAACTGGTCCATTACAAGCTCTAAGGTGCTTCTCACATTTCTAAGGCTTTATTGTCACTCCCACATTTTTCTGTTTTGATTTTCGGAACTGTTCAAGAAAGATCCATATCCTTTATAGGTTAAAAAGTAACATCATCCCTGCTCTTCCTCTGCAGGGCATAGCATCGGAAAGTGAGGGCGTATTGCAAAGCTGTTTGCTATTTCCTAGCCTGAGGGGCCTTAATGGAATTCAGCTGGGGAATGCTTGGTCTATGTAAAGTGGAGCAGAGTGTCCATTTTAGCCTTGCTCTCAGTCCATTGTAATCAAGGCTTATTGAAAACAGTACTATGTGCAAAGCACTAATCACTCCTCACAGGAAATAGAAGACAGGAGAACAGAGTCTTACCACTCAAGCTACTTAATATTAGAACTCAAAGAAGAGTAAGACAAAGCGCTACAGTGCTTAAAGGAAGGTGAGACCACACTACTGGGAGTCGAAGTGGACCCTGAAGGATGGGTAGGAAGTTACTTTCTATTTGTTTTGGGGGAAAGGTGACAGAGGGTAGGAGGAAAGGTTAGGGTCAATTAGAAGCTCTATAATAGTCCAGGCAAGAGGGTTTAAATTGAAATGATGGCAGCAAGAATGATGATGACTACGTGTATTTGATACCATGGAAATAGAATTAGAGAAATTTAGGAATTAAAAAACTGATTGGTCAAGGGTAAAGGGAGAGAGGGCAGTTTTATATTTATTTCCTAGCTTTACTGAGATGTAAGTGACATATTACATTGTATGTTTAAGGTATTCAATGTGATGATTTGATACACACACATATATATTATATATATAAAATTTTACCACAATAAGATTACTTAGCATATCCTTTACCTCACATAATTATTATATTGTTGTTATGGTGTAGAACATTAAAGCTCTACTCTTATTGCAACTTTCAAGTATACAATACAATCTTGTTAACTAAAGTCACCATGCTGTACCTTAAATCCTGGAACTATTCATCTTATAACTGAACGTGTTTCTCCTTTGACCAACACCTCTCCATTTCCCCTACCCCTCAGTCCCTGGCAACCATCAGTTTCTATGAGTTCAATATCTTTAGATTCCACATATAAGTGAGATTATAGAGTATTTCATTCAGTCTTTCTCTTGACTTATTTCTTAAAATAACTTTTATTGACTTTATTGGGGTGACACTGGTTAATAAAATTATATAGGTTTGAAGTGTACAATTCTATAATACATCATCTGTATATTGTATTGTGTGTTCATCACCCAAAGTCAGGTCTCCTTCCATCAACATTTATCTCCACTTTACCCTCTTCAACTGCCCCCCCCCAACCCCTTCTGACTTACTGAGAGGGCAGTTTTAAATCATCTAACTAAAAGAATGGTAGTGCCATCTACAGAAACTGGAAAATAAGAAAGAGGGATTGATAGAGGAAGTCATTATTTTAGAAAAACCAAGCACCCAGGAGATAACCAGACCCTTTTGCTTTCGGAAGATAACCAGACCTTTTCGCTTCCTGCTTCTGTAAGCTGCTTACCGCTCTCGCATCTAAAGAATGTCCGCCCAGCCTGCTACAAAGGTAGGTGCGCCCTACAACTCGGGGTCCAGAATTTGGAGACTGCCTCCTCTGGGTCCACATGCATGAATAAAGGAACCTCTTCGCTTCCTCCTGTGTTTGGTCTGAGTCTTTTCCGTAACATTTTGGTCCCCTGACCGGGAATCGACTCACACAGCAGGCGATTGCTACCAGTGAGGTGGCCCTGTGGGCGCTCCGTGGAAACCTATGATGGAGGGAAGTGGGCGCCTCGGTTATTTCGGGTCCCCGTTCTGGGCTCCACAGCCAGCTGCTGGCGAGGTTCTCGCCCCACCCAGGCTGCCAGGGGAAACGAACAGGTCCAGTTTTGGGAACTGCACAGCTTCAGGACTGGTGAGTGCCCCGGGGATCAGAAGCCTGAGCACAGGCCCATCCTTGAGGTGGAAGGAGAGACTGATCACCTCTCAGGCCCTTCGGCTGCCAGGTAGGGCAAGCCATAACAGGAGGGAATGTTTAAACTCATTTGATTGTTGATGCGAGAGTGAGTGTGCATGTCTGTGTGACTCCCCTGGTGCAAATCTATGGAGTCTGAGTGGGCCCCAACCTGCAGATCTGTGGTGACCTCATACGGCTCAGGGCAGTATCAGATTCTGGGGACATAGTCCCTCCCTGCGAACCTGATCTGAGACAGGGGCTTATACTGATCTGCCAAAGCTAAGAGGCACCTAAATCCCCATGAGTGGAGTGGCCAGGTGGGTGAACCAAAAATCCCTACCCTTTGTCTGTCTGCACTGTTACGAGAGGACAAACCATGGGAAGAGGCCCATCAACAGTACTTGACTGCATGTTGCAGAACTTTGACCAGTTCTAGGGCCAGTATTCAAGCATGACCCTGAGCCAACTGGAAAGCTTCTGTTCAGCCAAATGGCCTACTTTTGGAGTAGGTTGGCCCCCTGAGGGAACCCTCAATTTAGGAATTATGCCTGCAGTACACCTGATAGTGACAGGGAGGCCAGGACATTTACATAGATATATTTACATAGATAGATGGCAGGAACTAGCTCAGGACATGCCGAGTTGGCTCCAACGTTGTGCAAGGCAGAAATCAAAGTTGGCAGGGGTAACTGGAACAAAGAGAAAGACCTCACCTAGCCAAACTTAGGCAGTCCCTGCCCATGTCCTCGTGGCTCAATCTAAGGAAGCACGCCGACCCCCCATTCTCAAAAGCGACCCAGAGGAAGAACTGCCCATCCACTTACCCCCTGATATGCGCCCAAGACAGTCCCCCGGGCCCCCGAAAATGAAACTCCACCACCATCTATCTTGCCAGCCCCAGCCCCAGAAGCGCCCCTGGCCTCTCCGATCTTGATAAGGCACTGGCAACGGCAGCCATTCCAGATGCCTCTCAGGGAGACCAAGGCTCTGCCACAAATTGGGCCAGGATGGACCATCATTTATTACCAACCATTCACCACCACTGACCTCTTAAACTGGAAGCACCATACTCCGTCCTACTCGGAGAAACCCCAGGCCCTGATTAACCTTACGGAGTCCATCGTGCCGACGCATCGTCCCACCTGGTACGACTGCCAACAGCTACTCCTCACGCTATTCAACACCGAGGAGCAAAGGCACATTCTCCAGGAAGCCCACCGATATCTAGAGACCACAGCACCCGTGGGCACTTTAGACCCAGTCCAATGGGCAAAAGCAGCAGCACCTGAGGCCCAACCTGACTGGGACCACCACTCAGAAGAAGGAAGGGCCACGCTTCAGAGATACAGGGATGCCCTTCTCTGGACCGCAGGCTGACGCTCTAACCACTGAGCAAAACTGGCCAGGGCTGCCCTGGGGATTTTTACAAACGTCTGTGTGAGGCCTATCAGATATTCACCCCATTCAATCCTGAAGGGTCAAACAACCAGAGAATGGTCAACACTGTGTTCGTCTTCCAATCAGCCTTGGACATCAGGAAGAAGCATCAGAAACTCAAGGGCTTTGCTGGAATGAATATAAGCCAACTAACAGAGATTGCCAACAAGGTATACAATAACTAGAGAGGAGGTGGCTGAGCAGGAGGCTCGAAAAAGAATGGAGAAAAAGGCAGTCCTCCTAGCATCCACGCTAGGAAAGCCCCTGCCACCCAGGAAAGGCCAGTGGCCAAAAGGAAAAAACAAGCCTACACATTGGAGTGTGGAATCAGACCAGTGTGCATACTGCAAAGAAAGGGGGAACTGGAAAAGGGAATGTCCCAACCGAAAGAAGAAAAGGCAGGCCGATAGGCAATCAGCACCCGAGACCCAGGCACCTACCATCCTCAGGCTGGCAGGCCTAGGTTCGGACTAGGGGAGACCGGGCTCACGATACCTCGGCCCCCATGGGCCCATGGTCCAAATAACAGTAGAGAGCCAAACCCTCCCTTTTATGGTAGATACTGGAGCAGAACATTCAGTAGTAATGACCATGGTTGCACCTCCCTCAGGGCGCGAGATCTCTATCATTGGTGCCACCGGACAGCCTAGTGGCCCAAACAGTTTTGTCAGGGGCCACCAGGTAAAGCATGAATTCCTGTGCATGCCAGAGTGCGTGGTCCCACTCCTGGGACGTGACCTGCTTTCTAAGCTAGGAGCCCAGATCTCCTTTCACCCATTAGGAGAGGCTCACTTACAAGTTGGCATCCCATACCTCATAGCAGTCTTAGTTCCCTGGGAAGTAGAATATCGACTATATAA